GAGTGATCTGTCTTAATTAAAACCATCATAAAAATATATAACATTGTAATGGAATGTGGCAAAAAAGAAGTGGAAACATGATGTAGTGTTTAAGTTTGTTATACATCAGAAGCCTGCACAGACTAAAAAAAAATATTTTCTATATCATAACTGCCAATGCACACAATTCTGTGTACAATCCACATATGATTGCATAACTATTTACAGAAACCCTGAGATTACGTTTACAATGTTTATGGCGTGTTTCCATGGCAGCATGTATCAACAGTGTATGAAGGTAACAGTTTTACAAAGACACCATGACAACAAAACTGTCTCTGAGGAAACAACAAAAAAATGCTACAAAATCATTGTAGAGACTTTATATAGAAACTCCACTAAATCTGGACGCTGGGATGAAGATTATGCCTGATCTTTGAAAGTGACACATTCAATAAAGATGAATATCATGCAGTTAAATATTGTGCCTATCCTTTTCAATTTTGGCCAAAAAAAAAAAAATCAAAACAAAACCCAGCTATATAAATCATAACCTGAATATACATAGAATATAAATGCCATTTTATCACAGTGATGAGGCATGCCTAATGTATTAACATGTAAACGGCAACACAAGTCTGTCTGAGTAAAAATATTTCCAATAAAAAAAATGATGATTTTTTTTTAATGGGAATGGACGTGTTCAAATTAATAAAATCACAGAAAATTTGACTTTCAGATCTGTAACACAGGGGATGCTTTGAACTTAAAACTGGAGGTAGAGACTTATTGTCACCAAGTTCTAGATCAAACCCTTAGCTGCCTGATTCAATATCTAAAAGCAATGCACAGGGAGTGGTCTACATACACAGTTATTCTAAAGGGTCAGTCACAAACAGTTATATATATGTATATATATCACAGTAAACATTAAACGATGGAGATCATGTGGAGGACATGAATGAGTTAGTTCCCTTTCCAAGCAATTCCTTGTGGCTTTTTGATGCTTGATATTATCTGGGTATGAGATTCTGCACCATATTTGATTACAAGACACACTATTGTCACAATCCAACAAATCATAACAAGACTACAAGAAATGTGAATTGCCAATACTACAACTCTTCTCATGTTCATTCCTGAATGTCTCCTGGGCTCCCAGGGAATGCTGGCTTTCCTTGGAATTCACTCATTGTGGCAGAATAAACAGTTCTCCCGTGGGAGGGGAGTGTGAACCCAGATCTGGCAGGACAGATCTACTGAGAGGGAGGACATTTGTCTCCACTGTCTGGTTTAGATTTGGCACTTGTTAGGGCAGGGATATAGTCTTGTGGCTAAGATCTCACCATAGAACTATGCCGATATCGTCTGTATGGATTGTGATGACTGGGAGGAGAGGGGGCTACAATGGATAAAAACAAAAATGTATACAACATAGATCATTTCAGTACCAAATACATGTATAATTCTTGTCACCGATATATGTTTATACAATCATCTGAAAGAATAAGCTTTATTACAATGACTTTTAGAAAGATAAAAATTCATAAATTTATTTCCTATTATTGTTTAAGGGGTAACTGTTATTTCCAAGTGAAGGAGAGAGCTAGGACTTTAAGAATAATTTTTTTTTTAAAAATCACACAGGAATGACAGAGGAGAACCAGAATCAAGGTGAAGGAGAAATACATTGATACACCATCTTAAACTTCTACAAATATGTATCACACTTCTAGGCACATCTAATTATTACAGGTAAAATTTCACAATTCTTTTTAACACAAACATTTTAAATAACATGATATATAGGAAATTTTTAACTTAAAAATGAAATTCAAATAAGTTCAGTCACACAATTAATGGTGCATCAAACTGCAAATAAGAAATGTTAATGGAATAAAAAAAGAAGAAATTCTTGTCAAGTAAACAAGAAGTAAACATTTGGGTAACTCCCACGAGTGAGGGGCGGGGCTTTACCTCAGCTATCTGGGAATTTTGGTGATAAAAGATGCTTTGGACCTGTTGTAACAGAACAATCCACTAGTTTATTGTTAACTAAATCAGACTCTTATTGCATTAACAATTTCTTAAAAATCTGACTATTTTTGAGTTCTATGTGAAATCAAGAAACTGTGAAACACATTTTAACTCCAAAAACTGACAACTCTGGAAAGTCAAAAAAGCAAAGCTGAAAAGTTCATGCAATGTAACATTAGAATATAATAGTGATATATTTTTTGTGATATCTCTGCACTCGGTGTGGTGACAGTGAATAGGCTACCTCAGACCCCCCAGGCAGTGTCTATGCCCTTATCGGGTGGTGCTGAAAAATGAAATCAAAATAGAACAAGGTTTAATCACTTGAACTCTTTACTAATACTTTCATAAATACAAAGTACTAGGTGACAGAGATTAGAGGTTTCTAATTGTGATTCTAGACCTTCACCTCTCTGTACAACTAAAGTGCACTTGACTATAAAAGTCAACTAACTGTTAATAAGCTTGTTAAACTAATATTGCTTAAAAGCAAATATTATTTATTAATGGATCTTCAATTGTAAACATATTCTCTATATTTCAAACAACATGCATTTTCATGTCTCAGTGACAACACAACTTGCAGCCATCATGCCTAGTTCTACATGCTACTATTCAATGTGTTGTTCATCCTACTTGGAAGTTTGTCAAACTGTAAACTGTGTGCAGCATTTTTTCAGTTTTGTTTATAATGTTGCTGAAAATGACTACCAGTATATACTATCAATGACAGATTTTCTACTCTAAGACATTATTTAGAACAGTAAAAAATAACAAACATCCCCATCACCGATACTGTTAGAAGACTTACTCCACTGATTGTGGTAGTCTAGATTGACCTCTGCATCCTCCATTATGTCTGGGGGATAGTTGGTCAGGTGACCTATTTCTGAAGAAGGTTGTAGTCCACTACCCGTTATTCCCAACATGGATGCACCTTTAAAATAATTTTGTAAAACTTATTAGGATCAGTAAATATATTAAAGAAAGAAAAATTTCCTACTCGAAGAATAATCTCAATCATCTTTCTGTGCTTTTTTACATGGAGCAGTGTGGAATTTGATTACCTATCATTTGGGTGCTCCTCTGGGGGACAGGATTGAACCCTCCAAATGGAGTGGAGGCTCTCCGTGAGGTGTTTCCTCCCAAAGGTGTATCAGACTGCAAGACACATAAGTTATATAAGTGTAATGTATTTCATCAACAAGGCCAAAACAGGAAAATTGTCCACTTGATATTTATACTTTATAACCATCTACATATAAATGGCACTCTTCAAGGATTCATCAGGCCTTTGTTTTAAACCAAGTGAAAGCAGAAAATTCATGATAAAAATATTGACTGAACTCACATACTGTGTCAAAGAAGACAGATATATAGCAAGATTAAATAAGCAGAGTAAGCTACAATGTCAATATATTTTTCTATAAAACATAAATACTGAAAGTTATTCAATATTAAGTTTCCCATTTTAATAAGAAGCCTAGAAATAAAGCAAAGACTAATTTTGATGATAGTTGACATAGCTGGACTGATTTTGATGAGAACTGATACATTGATTTTGACAAGACTGACGGGAGATAGGACTTTGTTTCCCTGACTTACCCGCATGGCATGGGTTGTACTTGGTCGGGTATCAGACGGCATTGGGTACCTATCTCTAAAGCTTCGGATATCCTTATCTACAGCACTACTTGCACGATTTGCACTATACACTTTTTTCTAAAAGCAGACAAAAACGTGGTTTATTTAAAAAAAAAAAAAGAGTACAGATGCGGTAAAAAAAAAAAAATCCATTCACCATGATGTCTTGTATATATAAAACATACATAAATAAACAAAGTCTATAATAAAGTATGTAATCTACTCAACAGTAAAGATAAATAAACATTTATAAAACATACATCAGAGCAAAACATCTAAAGAGCATGGACAGAAGAATAAGATTTTCTGAAATCTTTGTGATCCAGTACCTGTGTTCTGCTCTGACTAGGACTGGCAACTACATCCTGTTCAGAGCCTAGTGGGGGCAGGGTCCCATTTCTTTGGTGATGGGTGGGTGGGGAGGAGAGACGTTCACTTTGTGGGGTAAGACGAGTTACTTTGAGTGCACCACTTGGTCCAGGTTTTTCATCCTCCTGAAAATGTAGCTTATTTATACTTTTCCTGTTTTTTCTTCATGTAACATTGACAACATGAGAAATTTGACTTCTAGGTGATGACTTATGAATATTGTTCCCAACACTTTTAACCTCAAATGCTTTTGACATATTTTATGTTATCTGCATGCTTAATATTCATGCACCTGTGAAACTGTCCGACACATGTTGATTATAATTAAGGTATCCGACCCATATTAGGATCTAATTTTCTAACCTTAAATATCCATCAAACATAAAATGCTCTGATATTAATTCAAAACATCTTAAAGAAGGAAATGATTTACCAAGGGAAATTTTTCAAAAATATAATTACCTAAGCAGTAATTAATCAAGGAAGATTGCCTTGAGGTCTATGGGGGCAAGCAAATTTTTAAAAATAGAAAATTAAATATTAAGAATATCAATAAATGCTGTGTTGGAAAGATGTATTTAATCATTAGGAATAGAAAATGATTGAAACCTAATTTTTTAGAATTGATTTTTTGTTGATTAAAAAGCAAAGGGGAATACCTTTTCAAGGACAGGACAATATCATAAATTGACACATTCTGCTCTTATACACTGATACTAAAACAAAAAATTATGCCTAAATACATGTATAATGAGTGTTCAGCCCATATACATGTATCTGTTAAGCATTCAATTTCACTGAATATGAAGCTATTATGGGTCGGATACCTTAACAATAATTCCATTCTACTGCTAATATTACTCCACCATTAAATTGGAATTCAAATTTTTTCTCCCTTATTTTTATGAAAATATTATTATGTATTTCACAGACATTTAAATAAGTGAAGTCTGAAAAAGTAAAGTAGGAATTCTTAGCTGAGTTAACTATGTATTACAAATGTATTCATTTTGGAAACTTATCTGTCTAGCTTCTAACTAGATAGTACATTTACACTATGCTGACAAGTCTACAAATACACATCTAGATCATTTTACAATGTGGTTAAAAAGATGACAGAAAATTGAGAAATGGAGCACATACCCAACAAAAAATGACAAATGGACTCATAGATTAACATTATACATATGGTTTAAGATTATGTTAAAGTTTCAGCTGTTAGAATTCCCATTTCCTTTAGCTCTATTGACCTATGTCAAGTAGAAATAAGTAGCTGTAACATGATTCACAAATATTCTATAACTAAAGAAAATTGGTATATGGCATGATTTTGTATATTATTGCTTGCCATGTCCATAAATAACCCTCCAACCACAGAAATATAGGGAATAAAAAGACAATAGAAAACTCACTCTGTGTTTTGTCTCTCTGATAAGCTAAACAAATAAAACATATCTTAAGTACTGGTAAACAAAATATGGCATCCATAAAACAAACTGAAAAAAAAATACTATTGTCATCCGAACTCTTACCACATTGGGAGTTCTGGACCTGTCTATAGGGGCAAGTCTGACAAGACCACTGCGTGTCCCTCTCTGCTGGGTCAATTTGACACTGTAAGGACGATTGGGGGTCTTCAGAGAAGGGTTAGCACTAGAGGCAGGACGGGCTGTGTTGATAATTGGGTCAGAGTCGCTACAAAAGACAATGTAAATAAATAAGTTCAAAAATGTTATAATTTCTAACACACAGATCTACATGCAGAGTTTTATGTTCAGCTTCTGATTTCATCAGAAAGTAAATAAACAGATCCTATGAACTTGAAAAATATTAATTAATCACTTCATAGTCATATATTGTTGCCATTTTCTTTGTAAATACTGCTTACTGGAGGGACGTAGTTTCCCGACTCTGTAGTTTCTTTGTAGATATGTGAAGAACATTCTCTAATCGAGGCCCAGTCACTCCTATTGTAGTATTGGACCTCTGAATCTGCACAAAACAAGCAATAGGTATTTATATTACAAACCACAAAAGTCTGTGTACAACTGATTAGCTGAAGCTTCAGCTTAATATCTAGTACCTTGTTGTTAAGGAAGCTGAAGGACGTTTCCCGGGAGGGGGGTAAAAGGTGATCGGGACGGATCTGCTCTAATATTGGAATTCGAATAGGCTTACTCTCATCTGCAGAACAAAAGACAAATAAATTATAGCATAAAAAACAGAAGTAATACTATTTATATCACATCCATCACTGTAAATATCTTACTTACCAAGGACCATAGCTGTGTATTTTCTTGTAAGTGGCTGCATCCATGAAACAATCTGAAGAAGAATACATTTTTGTTGAAAGCAACTGACAAAGTAATATAATTCAAACTGACCTCCAATAAGGACAGTACTAAACAAAACATGTTACTGAAAAGATACAGTAATAGTTATGTCCAGGATGATCATGGGCTCTGCAAAGTGGAACATCCCCTCGCTACAGAACACAATGATTCTTATATGAATTACTACTTGCATAAATTCTGATATGCACAAACTCACTCCCTCACCAACACACACAAGCACATTACTATATCCCCTCCAACTTTCGTTGTGAGGGGGAAAGGCATACTGGTATTTCTGAACTGACATTTTTATCCTACCTCCTGCCATATATTGTCAAATGCAGAGCTGATCACACTGTCTTTGATACTGGCATTGGGGGTTATCGGAGGGTAGCCTACCCTTCTTCTCCTGGGGGTTAACTGTTTCTTGTCATTTGAACTGTCCTCATATCTACAACATCATATTGGTTTTTGTACTCTTTAAGTTAAATAAGATACATGACCTTAACTACTGTAGATTCCATTAGATATGCGAGGAATAAATTATCGCGTAATTTCGCAAGAAACACCACTCGTGAAATAAAATTACTCGCTTTTATTTTTATGGTGCTAAAATCCATGTAAAATCTTTTGATTAACTGTCCACTCGTGAAAAATAAGGAATTTACAGTATAACGTGACATCTAAACACAAAAGACTTACAGATCTCTATATTCAATTGCTATGATTTCTTCATACTCTCCCTCCTGCTCAAAGATTTCCTCCTCTAGATGAGTGAACTCAGTAATAGGAGCATCCACCCCATGTCTGTTTGAGCGAGCCTCAACAGGTGGCTTCCTAACTCGAACACTTTTCCCTGATAATGATAATCTACAGAAGAAACAAGGCAACATTTACTGATGCATTTCTTTGAAGGCTTCTCAACTTTAGCATTGGGTACCTGACTAAACACTTTTAAAAACTTTTGATGTGTGGGTCTCAGTGCTAGTGTCAGTTTTCATAGTTTATCACTAAAATATGTTAATATTGAGCAAGTTTGATTTAAAATGGCATTACTGTTTTAGAAAAAGATTTTCCTGAAAATTTTACAATTAGAGGTACTCAAAGACATGCATTGAGAGTAGGGCTGTATCAACATATTGATACGTATTGATATTCAAGAATATATCGTATCGAAAAAATGACTTCCAATACATATCGGTCAAGTAGTTTTTCATATAAGACCGAGGAACATTAACTGGCAAAATTGGAAATATGCAGCTTACGTCATTTTCATCGTTACAGTCAAAACATTTAATGATAGACAATGAAATGGGCGGGTACAATTCGACACGGACATCTGCGAAAACATTGGATTGAAACTGCAATTCGAAATTCATTTTCAATCCACCTCAGCTATGCTAGAACGCACGGTGTTACTGATTGACACAGAAGACAAATAATTTGAAATATATATAAATCAGAATTTTTCGATCCCATGTTTTTAAGAAATATAAAGGGACAAATATTTGATTTCTGTTTGGTATGTGTGTGTTGGGTGGTTGGGGGGTTGGAGGGGGGGGGGCTGAACGATCTTGGAAATGAATAAGAACGTTTTATTTTAGTTTGGACAACCCCTCCCTGTTTTTGTCTGTCAAACATTTTTCAGAGAAGAAAAAAAAATAAATAATAAAGCTCTTGTCATCCTAGAAATTAATATATTCTTCATGTGAAGGCATGATCTGACTCGACAATTTTTGACAGCCCCCCCCCCCCCTTCTAGAATCAAATGGCCGTCCCCTGAAAAAATAATCTCTGTATTCTAGGACTTTGACATGTCCTTAAAATTATAGGCTTAAAAACTCATATAAATATGAATTTCAAACAATATGTATTTGGGAATTGAATTTATTTGTCTTTTGAATCATACATTCACACTTAAGGTTTGAAAACAGCTCAGATGGATTGAAATTGAATTTCAAATTTTTTTCAGTGAAGAAGAAAATAAATAATGTTTTTTGTCATCCTACAAATTTTTAATATATTCTTTCATGTGAGACATAACCATAAATAGTCTGATTCGACAAAATTTGCCAGCCCCCCCCCCCCCCCCAACTTCTAGAATCAAATGGTCTTCCCCTAAAAGAATATACATGTAACTATATCTTCTATAACTTTTGTTTGTCCTCAAAATAGAAAATTGTTATACATTAATTTCAAACTATACGTATTTGGGAACTGAAATTATTTGTCGTTTCGATCATACATTATAACTTTGCGAAAAATAGTTCAAGTGGATTGAAAATGAATTTCGAATTGCAATTTCAATCCAATGTTTTTGCAGACGTCCGTGTCAAATTGTACCCGCCCATTTCATTGTATATCATCAAGTGTTTGACTGCGACATATGGAAATGACGTAAGTTGCATATTTCCAATTTTGCCAGTTAATGTTCCACGGTCTTAATTCTGTGAAAAAGTTGGAAATTTCAATCACCAAAGTTTGTATTTTTAAACTGTTTTCAATTAAAATTGATCAAAAATGATATAATCATTAAGGAGGTAGGGCATCTTAGATAATTATTACAAAATACGTAGACACCTTTATTTAACATGTTGATTTTACAGTCACTAAAAGTTTGAATTTCAAGTGTAATTTGTAATGACAGTGAGATGAGAACTTTGAAATGAGTTGTAAAACAATCAGTTTTTATAAAATTCATGCATAAAATGATTAATAAGACTTCTTTGATAGACTTGTTAAAGAATTCCAATATATCGCATTTTAAAATATAGTATCGTATCGAAAATTTTTTGCTCAATACACAGCCCTAATTGAGAGTATAAGCTCGTTTAGATCTTTGGTCCAGGTGAGCTTAAGAAAGAAATGAGTTTTTCAGACTTCACTTGTTACTCATCAATATTGAGTTTCCAGGCACAGACCTAAATAATTTCTCTGCTTAAGGACACACACCAGAAGATGAGAAAAATAATCATTTGTGCATGTATGCACAATGTACACAGAAGAGATAGCAGAGTGACTCAGCATTACAGACTAATGATTCTCCCCAGGGTACAAAGGACATCAAATATTGGTTATCTGACTGCACCGCATAATTCCTACAAGTTGTTAAATGTATCAACCTAATTCAGACAGGCTTATCAAAATTATGCAGAATGATTGCTATGGAAACTAATAAACAGGAACAATAAATATTTAAAGTTTAATTTTCTCCATCCTTGTAAAGTTATCCAGTTGATCATATCTACCTCGGGTAATGCAATATGACTAGAGAAAACTCTATGGTGTAGCAAGTTTGAATTAGAAATGATCTAATCATTGGAAGCTTAATTATTGATAGGAACTTTACCTCATTATCATGGGTACATTAATTGGAACCAAAATATGAAATTTACTGTGACATTTAAGATTTATTCATACATGACCACTAAATAACAGAGATACAATTTCATTTTTTTCAATCAATAATGAAAAAATCAATAGATTGAAGGTTCCCATGGATACTTTTATAGATTTAAAACCACACTGTCTCCTGTATAAATTTACCATCTAGCTGTTTTTTTTTTTTTGGGGGGGGGGGGGGGGGGGGGGATTTGGGCTTATTTCGGCAATATGTAAAGATTAATTTACCAAAATAAAAATCATCGAATTTGTTTTTTTTAATTTCATATACACTTGATTTTTCCATGTTTATGTATAATCAAGAAAGTACTGGGCAATTTTCTATATGTCTGAGATGTGAATGCAGTATGTTGGTGAATATGCATGCATAACACATTTGTATATACTTGTAAATATTTGATGTAAACTTTGTTACCTTTTAGGGTTTAAGAACATATTTAACAAATGCACCCAATATATAAACGGAATAAAATTCACCAAAATATTTTCCACCAACCTGAAATCCTTCAAATTTGTGATCTGCCAAAAATAGCTATTGATCAGCATAGATAGTGAAGTTTTAATCCTGATATATTACTAGATATTGACAGTGGATATGAACTAATATACTGTGTATCTGGACAGTGGATATTAACTGACCCCTGAATATCTTGAGTATCTGCAATCTCAGTCTCTGTAACATCCACCAATCCAAGATTTCCTGTCATAGGTCGTGACCCCTCTCGTTCAATCAGCTGAAATCCCTGGTCCTTTGGACTCATTAGCTGATTTCCCAGTATTCTGTGGAATATAAAATAAGATGTATGCATTAAATTCTGGCTTTATATTGATATAAATTAATGTATTAAACAGTAAAATCCACACAAATATAATCTGACAAAACAACTATAGGACAGGGAAGAAAGAATGAAGACTTGACAAAGACTTCATTCTTAACCATTGGTTTATCTTTGCAAATCTTTTGGGACATTCTAAGGGTGTAGGTGGGCCAAAAGAAGGAAAATATCCTACAATATTTAATAAAATATATGCCCTGGATAGAGAGTAGATAAGCCAAGGAGAAAAGATGAGGAGTGACCTAGACCTTTGATCCTAAACTTGGCTCAAGGTCATTGTAAATCCCTTACCCTAGGACACATCTTTGGGTGAAATTTAAATCAGAGGGCCAAGAAGGGAGAATATACATGTATACTCTGAATAAAGTTGTTATACTAAGATATTTTTTTTTCACTTTGATCTCTGAGTTAGAAGTATGGTTCCATTTTCCAGCACACTTATTACCCACGGACCTTTTTTAAGTGAAGTTTGAAACAGATTGGGAATAAAAAAAATGAAAAAAAAATTACTCCAAACAAGGAATTTACTCAGTACCTGAATGACTCTGAGGTTTGAGTAAGAATCTCAGAAAGTAAGAGGATATGTTCCAGGCCTGATATCAGACTAATAGACAGACATACAAACCAACTGATTACTACAGGGCACCCAAAGAGCAGAGCCCTACTAACATCTAATCAAATGAAGGGATTTCTACAAGCTTATTCAACACATAATCTACAGAACAAAATGATGCATTAAAATTTCACATACATGTATTTAGTATGCTTGAGCTAGCAATGTTTTTATTGATAAAACATTACAAGGGTACTTGCTTTTAGCATATTTTAGCCAAAAGAAACCCTGAAAATTTAGAACAGTAATGGGGGAAAGCTTTCAAACTAAATTTCATTTCTAATGTGCAAATACTGAACAGGATAAATCTCTATATGCTCAGCAGTACGCTATTCAAATGTGATCATATTTCCTATCAAAATTACAAAATTGAGACATGTTGCAGCTTATTTTCAAATGTGGTCTTCAAATATCAAATTCTCAAAAATTGATTATGAATGTTTGTCCATGATAACCTGATCAAATTTCTTGTTACGCACCATAATCTAACAAAGGACAAGACTGAGTGATATATAACCCTCTTTTGAGAACTACAGGGACATGTTTACACACCTGAGATGTGGAAACTGGGTCCCCCATTCCTGGCACTCCTTGTGAATATAAGGCGGGGCACCTCGACTCTGCTCAAACAACACAGAATCTATCTCCTCAAACAAATGTTGTACTGTCTTTGCAGCCTGTTTGTCAAATTCCTGCAAATAAACATATCAGTGTAAAATAATTTCAATATATATTCCTTTTTTGTGAAAAGGAAGTTTTGAGACCTGTTATTTATAAAAGGCTTTCTACATATTTATAACTATATGTAAATTTTGAACCCATAAAGTGACCTTATTTCTGTCCTGAAGGCTATATATGGCTAGATGAGATCTGAATCTACATTTCACAAGGAAACATAATCAATTTGAAAATAATTATGTAAAATCATTTAAAAATTTTGATAAAAAATTCTTTCTTTTCTATATATTATTATTGTGAGACTTTGACCCTCTATAGTTGTCCTTTAATGGTGCATAGATAGTTATGATTTCAAGGGGGGGGGGGGGGAATCAACATATCAATGGTGTGAAATTTTACTTTTCTAATTTTTTTTCTTAACAAAGCAGGTATACATTATTTACAAGTAAGGTGAATAGATTTGTATTGAAATAAAGAGAAAAAAATTATTTGAACTCTGTTATACATAATAGCAGTCTGAAGAACTTCCTCATGGATATTAAGTGAAAGATATTAGTCGTCCATATTAGGAGACTCTGATATCAGGAAATCAGATATGCAGTTCCTGGGAATTTCTTATATGCTAGATTGTCTGTACTTTTCTTACAACTAATTAACTTAAGATGTTCAGAAAATTATATGTTTTAAAAACATTATTTGTTAAATGTTCAAATGTGAAACCTCAGTGTGGTTTCTAGCTTGATTGTTCTGTAATTCTTCAATGTATTTGTTAAGCTTAGGTATGTGAATTATGGGTGCTTGTAAATTTGAAGTTATGTAAATACTATGTCACCTAACAAAGTCATTTTAAAGAGAACTTGCAGGCCAAATAAGCATTGAATACAATTTCAGGTAAATAAAAAACACCTTGAAAACGGATGAACTGATTTGAATTTTTTAACATTTTGTAAACAATATTATGCCGAAACTAATAGAAAATTTGTTATTAATTTGCCATAAATTGCTGATTATATTGATTTATGCAAGAGGAGTAATAAAGTTTGTCCAGGATAAATCAACACAGATCCCAGGTATCCGAGAGTTGTCAACCACTTCTAACCCAGGGATACTACCTGGTATAAAGCACATTGATTAGAGGATAGGAAAGTTATGATCACGCCGTCAGTTATTGGTAGAACACTTAGAATGTGAAATAGAAAGCACGGAGAGTGTGATAATCTACTTAGTCTAGAACCAGAATACCCTGGCCCTAAAGCTGTAGCGTACTTCTATATGTCACAATGATGAACGACCTCTCTCTCCACTAAGATGTTATTACTAAAAATCTCAATTTCTGCCAAGGAAGCTGTTAACTAAGTTGAAATTTGTGCTGTCTGTTGCATAATTTTCAAGGAGCTGTTTTCATTTGTGTAAGCTGGGGATCTTTAAAAGGCTTGACAAACTTCACAAAAGCTTTTACATCTTGCAACATTAATTTTCATAAAAGGACTGCCACTGACTTTTTTTATTGGTCTCATTTTCCTATCTGTTATGGGGAATCTAACAAACTCATCCAGGCTTTACTTTCTGTTTATCAATCTATCAGAGGAGTCCCATCCATTTACACAGAAATCCTACCGTCATCCTTAACCTTATACAATCACAATCAAGTGAGACGTTCTATGGACTATAAACTAGAACCATCTCCACTCTGTGTCTCAAGAGTTCACACAAAATGATCTTTTCAAGAACTAATACCACTTTATGTAAAGTGCATTTTTATCTTAACAATTTATAATTACTCTGAATTTAATGTTAAAAACAAAGTAATTTGCATTAAAAGAAATTGGCTGTAAGTTTTGCCAGGTAACAGTTTCAAGGTGGTAAGAAGAAGGACACCATTCTCTAAATGTTACAAGTTCAAAGATTTAATTGCTGTATATATCAAAATAATTTGTATCTTCAAAAGAGCAAAAATTTGATTAAAATCTCTATAATCTTAGGCTTGAAGACAAAAACAATATACTGTTACAGACTGTGTGCCTGCTTGGACCTGAGTATGTGCCCAATTACTCTTAGAAAACAATACAAACTAAGATTCAATTCAATTTATTATTCAAGGAATCAGGGAAACTCTGTGTGATGTTTGAGACATATTAAAAAAAGATATTATCATAAGCTTGCCATTTCTCATGTCACTAATGATATTTCATAAAAAGTTTATACAGGTACTAGAAAGGTCACTCTCAAGCAGATATCACTATTTTCCAAAATTTCTATTTCTAGTTTCAGTAAAGTTCCCCTAAAATGTGGGGACCACCCATATAAAAAAAAGTTTGGGTTTAGTTGATGATGAATGTTTGAATTTTAATGTACAAATTTTATGAAAATATATTCCTAGCCATAAAGTCAATAAAAAAAAAAATCAACAATGCCAAAGAAGGTATGACTATAAATCTAAGATAAACTATTCCTTGATGTTGCTTGAAAACCAAAACATAAGTGTGGTGAATATCTGAAGATTTCAGGCATCTGATTCTACTTGAATCTTGATTAAGAGAACAATTTATAACAAATATTTAATGTTTGTTGACACTGCTGCTGGCTCAAGTAAACTTATATCACTTATCAAATGGCCAGGTAGTCTCTGTTTAAACAGGTCCACAAGATATCTGCTAGTTAAATATTAATTTCTAACACAGCTTCCATAATATTTTTTCATCACCATGGAGATATCAATCTGTCAAATGATGTCATCTTTCTAACCAAGAGGACTGAGTGATTCCAGATGTGGCACAGTTGCCATCACAATATGAGATGATAATCAAAATCCATTGTCCTATTAACATCCCTGCATCTCAGTAAAGGATGAAATTAATAACATCAAAACTCAAAGCTTTGTATCAAACCTCTATTCATCACAAAATCTCTCCCTCTCTCTTTTTTTTTTAAAAACAATTTTATGCATTTTTTGTTTAAATAATTCAAGTAAATGGTCTTAAAAATGAGTATAGGGCTTTTCATTTTTTTTTCTTTAGCTATAATCAAAAGTTTTGTTTTTTTTTAATTGTTTTTTTTAAAACTTGTTTGCTCTTATCAAAGGCAACACATCAAAGATTTAATGTTAATCAAATTATCTTAATGTGACATTTGCACCCATTACTTTTCTGAATTATTTTCCAAGATAATGAATCATTTCTGCACAAAGTATCTGTTTTTTTTTTATTATTGATATCTGACAGGAAAATAATTCACATCAACATTACTTAGAAGTGTTTAAGGTCACAAATTGAAAATCTTTGGGACATTTTTTTTTAAATAGGTCTTTATATCACAAAATGTATCCACACATCTCCCTACTCAACCTAACAACATAATAGTTCTACAAAGAAGAAAACATTTGATTAATTTTTTTAAATTCCTCAAAGTATGTGTCTTAAAAAAACTAATCCTACCATAAAATTACAGACTGAACTGAAAAAAAAAATATGCTGGTAACATACAAATATTATTTAAAGCTCCAATAATAAAGTAAAAAAAGTGTTTGATTTATTTCTGACGGATTCCAAATTGCTAGATACATGTCATTTAAATTCCAAATTGAAGCCTTCTCCGTATAAGCACACAAAGACTAGTGGGGTCATTTCTTAACCGATTCAGACCAAACTTGTTGGGACTGTGACTTACATCCCAGGAGTATCCGGTGGATGTGGAGCCTGTACTGCTCCTCTCCGTGGTGTTTCCCGTCCCCCATTCCCCCACTTTGGCAGGATGGGCACTCTGGGCCTCTGTTAGTGTAGGAGTAGATCGACCACTACTAGACGGGGTTCCATGATAACTGTAATGAAACAAGAATTCAATTATTTGGATTTTTTCTTCACTTTTGATCAAATTGAAAACATTGTATCATTAGTCCTGTTAAAAAAATATCACCTGAATTTATAGTTTGGTTAGATACTACATGTATAACCTTTGAATAAGCGCACAGTATTGAAAATATCATGAAAAATTAATATCCATAAAAATTTATCATAATAACAAACAAATTTGGTAAAGTTTCTTGAAACAAATCATTGTCTTATAATCACAAAACTATTTAACTAGGAGAATCTCTTTCGTCAGGCCTATTCCAAATATTGGAAAGTATACATTCATAAGATTTGATTTTTTGACCTTGGAAATCTTGGAAATCAATTTTCCACTTGCTAAAAAGATAAAATTCAACAAAGATGAAAAACTGCTATTCAAAAATAAATAAATAAATGTCAATAATAATAAGTATAAAAATAAAAGAATTGAAAAAATTGAAGAAATTCAACTTGTCAAAAGTTTGCTATTGAGACCTTGACATTTTACCTCATGACCAAAGACAGGTCCTTTTCTTATCTCACGGAGCATAGTATCATCCACAAACTACATTTCATAATGTAAATGCCTACATAGATGGTTAGGTCCAAATTATTTGTTCAAAGATTTCACTAAGTAGGGACAAGAAAATTATTTATACTACCAATTCAACCAGTTCTTTGTGTTATAAACAAAACATGACAAGGCCTTAAGAGCTAAATAGTGTTTTGGAGCAAATGTTTCTTTTCTCCTAACTACATTAATAAGAGGTTTGGCTTGCCTTGTTAGGGCTTCTGTGACTGTATCCAGGAACTCTGGAGGGATTGGTTGCTGAGTCTCGATGGTAGAATATGGTTCATTGAGGGATCCCTGAGGAATGCCTCGTCTGAAAATAAACAATAACACCTTTATACAGCCATACCTGTGAAATAAATTCCAGTCAAGATGCTTTATCCAACAGTCAACAAATACATCTTTTGACTGTTTACTTTTATATGCCAAAGCATGTGTTCATTAATGTTTTAAGGCTAACATCAACTTTGATTTATTAGGATAATATTGTGAAATGTACAAGGGAACAGTCTATCTCTGTGTACCAAAATGACTGGAACAAACACTCTTGTATTACTGACCCCATTTTTCTTCTTCTCAAAATTAGACTAACACTTTTATGACAGCATCTTTCTTTATCAATTCTTTATTAAGATTCATATTCACTGTACAACTGTGCACAGCTGTTCTGTATGAATCTGAACAATCTTTTGTCAATTAATCCAACCAAATTGGAAATATTGAAGCATAAATTGCAAAGAGCAGATTGATACTCATGTGACTGTATATGCTTAAGACCATATAAGTTATTACTTTATCATACCAATTAACAGGATGACAATTTTTTCATCCCTTTTACAATATCCATCTCCAGATTATCAATTTACTAATGATGTACTACTGGGTAAACATCTCAGCAAGTCTACATATTATCACCTTACTGTTTTATGATTCTTGTCAACAAACTTTGCAATGCATGACAAGCTTTGACAAGCACACATACAAATTTTAATATAATTATTTATCAAATAGTTTTAGATCATGAGGTAGGCAATGGTCAATCAAATTAAGTTGCCTTCCCAATACCCATGGTATCTTTGACTCAAGGGGGCACCTTGACTTCCATAATAGAAATCAATCATGATTATAAGTTATAAGCAAGCACAAAGGCTTTGGCAACATGTCCATTTTCTGTCCAAACATTCTTCCCAGGCTGACCACTTTTATGTCCCTACCTTTAATAAAACTTTGCACTAATTCTTGTATTTGACTTAATTCTTTTGGTCAATAACGACCCTATCTTATCTACGTACGCAATGTTTAAGTGTAAACCAACAATGTCCAGTGCAAACTTACTCCAAAACAACTGTATTGAAATGGAACAAGCTCTATTGATCTAACTTAATCAGCCTACAGGTTATTTCAGATTTAATGCTAAATTTGATTCTAAAGACCTTATTCATTCTGATATTCATATCTCTCTCCGTGTTGAGAAATCTTTTCTACAAAGATTTGTTGAATCCCTAGAACTTTACCTTAACATTATAGTCATGTATCTTTATTAGTCCCTTGTTCAATTTCAAGTACTTCAATGACAAGCTATAAACTTTTACAATTGCTTCAGGTAAATTTGGTCAGCATAAAATTCACCATATACATTTACATCAAATAGAAAATGACAAATCTATTCCTAAAACCAGGCTCTACCCCTCTCTGAACTGCGAGACTTCATTTCGCCAGAACAATACATGTATCAACATTTTGTTATGCTTTTTTTCTTTAAATTTCTTTAATAAAAATTAGAAATTCAGACAATTACTTATATTCCAATGCTGGAATCAGGAAAAGATGGCAGATACCATAGATTCATTATGATAATCAAAAAGTAACATTTAATTTAAAAAAAGAAAGAAAAAAAGAAAATTAAACATTTACAAATATAAAAACATTCATTATCACATATATACATATATTCATAACATTTTAACTTCAAGAATAAGACTTCTGTAACCTTTTTTTTAAATGTATTAAACCCTAAGGAAATTTTTTAAGTTTATTCAAAATACAAACATGTGTGCACATTTTTTTTTATATAGCTATCACACTTTTAAAATATAAAATAAATTGTAAAAAAATATTTCAAAATGAAATGATTTTTGCTTGTTTTTTTTTTTTCTTTTTTAATCAAGATTGAAAATATATGGAGGGAAATTCAGTTACAAAATCTTAATATAGATTTTTACCTGGAATTTTTTTTTTTTAAAAACTACGAAAATCACAGTTTTAAATGGCAATTCAATATCAAAAAAAAAAAAAATTCACAAATGAAACAAGAGAGCATGGAGACTAGTTTACCTTTTGTGAATTTTTGCACTGACACATACAATAGAGCGTGAGAGACCGTAGGATCGTCTGTAAGGTAATTTGATGGTTCTTTGTCCTACCCCACCCCTGCTAACAGACTTAACATCCAAGCTCAACTTCCAGTATTTAGGGTTTGGATGGGACATATGAACATGCCTTAACATCACATCTGTACCCATTCCTAAAGCTGTCACTGCAACTTCAATACAAATCCACCAAGGCCCATCTTACTAATTCACAACAAGATCAAGCCATGCTACTTCACTCACAGAATCCAACTTATTTTCTGAAAATTTCCTAAAATTTCTGCTAGATAATTGAAAGTTACTCCTTTAGTCTCTATGAGGAAAGAAGCACTGGACAGAACACTTTATAAATATCACCTTATTTCTGTTAACACATCCAATTACATGTTTATATTTAAACAAAGGTGAGTGCAGATATGTTGCCACTGATCGGTGAGTCAATTATCAGGTATGATAAACTATTTCCAGTTTTCTGTTTACACGTACATTCCTGAAACAAAGGTATTAAGCCATCCAAAATAAAATGGCACATCATTTCTTATGTGATATTCATATTGTCAAATGAAGCGTGGCCAACTTCAATATTGAAAGTGCCTACACTGGCAGTCAATTTAACTTTCTATTGACTGTCCAATGAAAACTATCACAAACAAACAATGACGACTTGAAAGACCAAGCTTTACTATCTCGGAGTTATACGGGCATTTACATGTAGCAAATGCTGTCATCAACGAACAACTCGACAAACCACTTGCTGACAATCGCGGAACTCCCTACATCAATTGGAATGGAAGCTAATATTCCTCTGAAAGCTTCAAGCCATGATAACACTATCTTGGTTGGTAAGGAGAAGTTTGTGATAAGATGGATTGGGAGTTATTAGCATTATCTGCACTGACATTTTCACAAATATCACCTATTGATGCAAAGAACAAATCTATTATCAGAAATTAAATGCCATGCATTTATAGGAAGTTTGTATGGCCGAATCACAAATCTTGTCAAGTTAATGGCTTCTTAGCATCTTTTCTTTTATATGTCTGAAAATGAAACTGAATACAAATCTGAGCAAATGAAAAGCTAGGTTTTCTGGAGATTAGAAGTGATGTATTGGCACATGGAAAAGAATTTAATAAAGCTGCTATATTGATGACAATTTATTCAGTTTCTCCTCAGCTCAATACATGACACTAGGCATTTAATGAATAAATCAAGCTTAATTATTTTATTACTGTCATCCTTTTCTAAAATATCACAAAGGGATTTTCAGAAGCAAAATATGTTTACGGCGATCAAAGGTTATTTAATTTAATCCAAATGTTAACTACTTATTTATTAAATAAGTATTAAAAAAAAAGGGAAAAAAAAGCAGGAATTGGTGTATGTATTTACCACAAATTTTAATATTCATATTTCAAGAAAAATAGGGATTTGATGAATGCATGTCCTCAGAAAACTTAAATTAATATGGCAAGTTTCAATTACTTCAGCAAAACAAATTGTTTTCCCCCATTAATATGTGTCAGACATGTATGTTTGTTGCAATAGTAGCCAAGTAATTGAAAAACATGATACATGTAATTGGTAAGTATGAAGTGCTTGCTTTAAAGGGAAAAAAATACAGATATATAATCTTTAACTTTCTTTGAAACCCTGCTGTGTTTTTGAAACAATATTTAAATCTTATATCTTATTTTTGCTGGTCAAACTTGCTCACCATTTGTGCAAAATTCATTACTTTTTAGTTTTTCTAAATACAATAAAACACACTAAATAAAATGAAGTGCCATGGGTGACCATTTTGCTTATATTTCAAAGTCATGTGGAATGAAAATCACTTCACTATAAGTGTCAATTCATTATAAGTTGTTCACTATAAGAGTGTTTTACTGTACACTTTGACATATTTCAAGCTATAACAAAAAATCCCAGCTTACGTTTGTCTGGATTTTGATAAATTTTTTTTAAGGTCAAATAAAGTCCAATTACTAAATTTAAGTTTGGTAAAATGTTTATAATATTCAGAGCAGAAAACTATGAGTTCTCTCAAATTAACTGGTAATAAAGGACAAAACATTAAATCCATATTTATTATAAAATAGCATTTTAGACTATAGGAAACAAATATACGTATGTTTTTGCTTGGCCCTATACTAACCCATTAATGATGAGGATGTTGTCCAGTGATTTCCATGTTTGGAATCGAAGGTGTGGAATCGTCATGGCAATGACTACATTTCTGGTACAATCTATTTAATCACTCAAAGAAACTTGCATGCCCAGTGTACATTATCCAAGAGTATTCTAGAGCTTTAAAAAATATTCCTAATGTTTTTGAAATTAACACATGCGAACAGACTTCCTCCTTTATATGTGAGCATATTTCTGTTTCCTTACTTAAATTAGAACCTCCCAAGAAACTGAATTACAGCTGTCTTGTATAAATTAGAGATTTCTGTTTCTGTAACCTGCTTTTGAATAATTAATGAACATGATGTAACTTGTGAAGAATATTGCATTAAAAATTCATAAGAAGAATTAACCCACCATCAAATAATTTATCTCTACTTACAATAAATGTTTTCTTCAGAGTCTGATTTTTTGCTGTATGGTAGTTCAATGCTTTTTATGCCAATTTTCCAAAAAATTCAATAATCTTTATGATTTTAGTGAAATACAAAAAAATATGAGGAGAGGAGGGAGTTTTGTGACTAAAAACATAATATATGATTATTGCTGTTTTTGAAGTCAGTATGATGATTTAGCCATCTGAGGATTACAATATTCACCAAGCCCAAAGGGCGAAGTGAATATTGTACCTTGAAGGTGGCTAAATCATCACATTAACTTCAAAAATAGCCATAATTAATTTATTACATGTATATGATTAAATGATATAAACTCGTTAAGCTATTGATACCATTTGATCTTGTTTTTATTTGCTTGAGTCCTAACCAAATGCAATGAGAGAAGTGGGGTTAAAATAAACATAACCATTGTATTAATTTGGAATTTTAAAATCTATTTTAGGTGCAATATGAAAAAGTAAATGTTAGATGTAGGATCAAATTTGGAAGGGGAGGGGGGGGTGTTAGGGTGGGATTAATAGTAAAAGATTAACATTCAAATAAAATGTGTGAGAAGGGGCAGGTCCCCTGAATGCCCTCACCCCATCCCCAATTCTATGTGGCTGAATGTTATAGCGAGCTTCTATAGCAATGCCTGGGAGAAGAGAAAATTCAGACTTTGTACATTGATCCAAATTATTTTTTTTCCCGCAGTTACCTTGAGATCTACAGTGCAAAACAAATGGATCTCACTGCTAACTACATTCTCATGGTAAGAGCAAAATTCGCCAATTGAAATAATAAACTCACCTTGATTTAATGGATATTGGAGATAAACAGTAGATTAAATGATCTTTGTTAAAATTTGCACTTTTCAGACTTCATTTTCTAATGCAACTAACATATGACATCATGTGACATGTCTCGTTTGGTTTGAAGAAGCGGATCAAACTTAAAACTGAATAGGTATCCAGTAACACACATCTGAGCTCGCCCCAACGTTCCCATCATCAACATATTATTCACCTGAATTGAAGTCGGGTGCAAATGAAATTACTTTTCAAAAATGGTATAAATTTGAAGATCCAAATCTATTTTTAGTCCAATGTAGGAAAAATAAATCCTTATGTTCACCTGGAAGGTCACGTGCAGATGAAAATTAACATTATATTTTCTTCACAGTTTTCGTTCTCAGCCAAGCAGAGAGCTATAGGAATTATTCAATCGTATAATAAATTAGTTTGGAATTTTTTTAAATGATTGTAACATAATTTTCATGTGTTCCATGAGTCTAACTTGGAAAGAATACAATAATGAACACAGTTTTAGTGGTTTAATCTGTCAAGGGTTTCTGGTCAGCAATATTATATTTTTAGCTTAAAAAGATGAAGCTTTATGAGTTGAAGCCCCTCTGGACCCCACCCCCAACACCAGGACCCCCATGTAGTAGGTACACACTAAGCTTTGCCACTTCTGTGGCTGTTTTTATCCCCATTTTTACTAAACATTAACTGATTCATCTACCAATGCAGAAACACAGTTAATAAACTACTTTGTGATGAAAACCACACTATACATCATGGTTTGGTATAAAACTAATTTGTCACAACAAAAATAAAGTGGTCACTAAGATTATGGTCACCGACTGGAATCTCAGTCAGCACCAAAAATCTTCTTCCATGGTGGTGTTAATACATTTTTTGGATCCACAATATTTTCAGAATATTAAGTTGAAGAGTTTACCAGGTAAACCACTTATGAGTCTTATTGATTGAATATTTTGTTTTGAAAACTTCATATTGTCAGATTAAAATATGACAGCCTCCAACTCAAACAGATTTTATAATAGTTAAACGATTAAAGTAACTACAAGAGGGTTGAATAGGACAGTCAATTCTTCTGAAGTTATAAACTGAATCTCTTAAATAAATTATTCTTGCTCTACATGATATTTTGTCGTACAACATTTTTATATAGGGTGTGGTCCTTTGATATTTAACAAGATAATGAACAATTTAATTCTTTTAAGTCTCCTTACTACTGTATTTTGCCAGATATAATACACACTTTTTTTGTAGGATACTTTTTTGTGAGATAGGAGTGAGAATGGTACACCACAATGGGATTTTGACCCATATTTCTTTCAAGTGAAAAGAACAAGATTCACTTAGGGCCTTTTTTTTTGAAAAATCAAAAATTTATACACAGTTTTGATTGAAAATACATTAAAGAACAAGGTTCACTTAGGGTCTTTTTCAGCCCTTTGAATTTCTGAAAGAAAAGAACTGCTCAGTTTTAGTTGAAAATACATTAAATTTCATTTGGACCCATGGTGACTGCATATCTATTAAAAATGACAATTTTCTCACTAGTCCTTGTATTATAATGTCATGAATTGCATCATTATCCTAAAATCCTAAAAAATTCTTCAAAAATGGCCAAAAATTTAAGCTGTTTTTCAATATTTTGCATAGATTCTAACCTCTAATCCAAAATATTCAATTATATAATGGAAGAACTATTTCAGAAAATTATAATACATGTTTTATTTTTTGGATTGAGGGGTGGGCTCATATTTTAATTCTTTGCTGAAGGTACTCAAATACACAAATTTTCTTCAAAATTCAAGAACATTACAATTTCACAAAGCCTGTTTTTCAATACCTGGCTCTGAGGCCATTAAACTTAGATGAGCTCACTTTTGATCTCAGGATCACTTTAAATTTACCAAAAGAATTAATAGTAGAAAAGTGAGACTGAGATCAGAAGTGAGCTCATCTAAGTTTTATGGCCCTGGAGCCTGGACTCTCAGAGGAAACTTTTTTATAGGAAATGAAAGAAATAAGACTCTAAATTATAACCAGTAAAACTGGTTTAGAACGAACATGAATATAGCAAATTCACAGATATGGCGAAGGGAAATCCCCGGCGAAATTCTTTCCAATTCCTTGTAAAATTTTACAGATATAACAAACACGGTTATAGCGAACTGCTTCTGTATCCCCTAGAAGTTAAAAATAATGAAATTTACATCTTTCATAATGAATTTTCAAAGATCTTAATTTTCAAAATATTGAAATGACATCAATTTTGTAAGAACATGTATGTATATTTGAAACTATATTCATCCAAAAACTTTTGAACTCCAAGGTAAATTTCGTATTTTATACTTCCCTAAATATATTTTGTAGTCATACTTGAAGGAAAAAATCTTTATTGCGCATTCACTATGTATACTTTAACGAATTCATTATATGGATATAACAAATTACGGATGTAGCAAAGTAAATTTGCAAGTCCCTTGAACTTCACTTTAACCGAGTTTTACTGTACTGATGTCTGAAATGGGACATTGGGACTTGGTCAGTTAATTAGTATATGGGCAGGACCATTTTACGGACAAAGAGAACCTAGCTCTTTCCGTGATATAAAAAGTCAAGATTATACTGCTTCATCAAATTTTTACAACCGAACTTCATTTTTTCCCCAATTAAAAGGAACAAAAGGGGGGTCATATTTTACACAAATGCATAAAATATTCAGCAAAATACGCAAAGTATGCCCCAAACTAATG